ACTAACCCTAATTGAGTTGTACCCCTTATGGGCTACCCCACTACAGCCTACACAAATGTATAAGCTATAATGTTATGACAAACCTCCCCATAAGTCGATTTTCAAATAGACACGTGCTGTTCGGAGTTGGTCGATCAGTTCGTCGGCGGGGGGAGTGGGGTATCGCGACTTGACTGTAACCCTGTTCAGTGCCCTGTAGTCGATGCACATGCGAGAACCTCTGTCTTTTTTCGGTATGAACAGTTTCGGTGTGGCGAACGGTGACGAGCTCAATCAGATGATTTTTTCTCTAACAGGTAATCTAACTTCTTCCTCAGTTCGTCGAGCTCGGGCTGTATCAGTCTGAACTGTTGCTGTACATTCGGCGCTGCCCCCGGTTCTAACTCTATTCGGTGATCGTGTGCCCGCTGAGGTGGCAGTCCCTCCGGTAAGTCATCGGAAAAAATCCCCGGGTACCGTTTCAACAGTTCCTGTAGTTCGGGTGGTACCACTGCCACCAGTTTCTGAAAATCACTCGGCGGCTCTGCTTCTCCTACCAATGCGATATCTACCGCGTACATGCCAGCTCCAGCGTCGACAGCCCGTTTCATCGTGATGGCGTTGACGTGGACCGTGTCAAAACACATGTGCTTATATTTCTCTAGGCTGTAGTGGGTTTAGCCTTAGGGGGTACAGTATTTCTCTCGACATTCTACTTGTACCCTCCCCCTTTCATCTAATGCATCACTCTCTCGATTCTAACACGGTATTAAGAGCAGATAGGTCCCTAACGTAGGGTTACCACTGCCCCCCCTTCCGCTGCCTGACGCGCGCCCCTAGGCCCGTCGCCAACAGCCCCGTCGCCCCGCGGCCCTTCGTTTCTGGCCCCGCAGCCCCATCGTTCCCGGCCCCGTCGCACCTAGGCCCCGCGGCCCCCCTTTCGTTTCTGGCCCCGTGACCCCTTTCGTTCCCGGCCCCGTCGCACCTAGGCCCCGCGGCCCCATTGTTCCAGGCCCCTCGGCCCCGTCGGCCCCTAGACCACGTCGCCCGCGGCCCGTCCCCTCGGCCCCGTCGACCTCAAGGCCCCTAGGCCCCATCGACCTAGGCATCCCAACGGCCCCTAGCCTTGGCCCCTCGCCCCCCCCCCCCCCCCCTTCGTGTTTGGCCCCTCGGCCCCTAGCCTCGGACCCTCGCCCCCACCCCCCCTTTCGTGTTTGGCCCCTCGGCCCCCAAGCCCCTCAACCCCTAGCCTCGGCCCCTCGGCCCCCAGGCCCCTCAACCCCTAGCCTCGGCCCCTCGGCCCCCACCCTGCGTGTTTGGCCCCTCGGCCCCTAGGCCCCTCGACCCCTAGGCCCCTCGGCCCCTAGGCCCCTCGCCCTCCCCCCCCACCCTTCGTGTTGGCTCCTCGGCCCCTAGGCCCCTCGGCCCCTCTGCCCCTCGGCCCCTTGGCCCCTAGGCCCCAAGCCCCTCGGCCCCTTGGTCTCCACCCTGCGTGTTTGGCCCCTCGGCCCCTAGGCCCCTCGGCCCCTAGGCCCCTTGACCCCCCCCCCCCCCCCCCCCCCCCCCCTCCCCACCCTTCGTGTTTGGCCCCTTAGGCCCCTAGGCCCCTCGGCCCCTCTGCCCCTCGGCCCCTTGGCCCCTAGGCCCCAGGCCCCTCGGCCCCCTGGCCCCTCGGCCCCTCAGCCCCCTGGCCCCTAGGCTCCTGGCACCTCGGCCCCTTGGCCCCCAGGCCCCTAGGCCCCTCGGTCCCTACTACTACTCTTCCTACTGCTACTACTGTTGGTGCAACCCTATTGTTTGCATTCGGCTTGTTGTCCGTGTATGTGCATGCGTGTGTGCATGGAATGGTATGAGGGCATGAAATAATAGATATTTCATGCTTACAATAGTGTGTGAATGATGAGGCATGATTTTGAATGTGTGTGTCGAGTCAATAGCGAGTTATCGCTAGTTGCGTGTGACGTCGTTGTTTGCGTGTCGTATGCGGTTTTCTATTTTGTCGTGTGTGGAACGTTCGGCGTGTCGCAGGTGTGCGTAGCAGACTTCCAAGAACTCAAGGAAGAATTTATCCTGAAGAACCAGAGCCTTGGTTTCAAGATTCAAGTGATTTCGAAGCTCTCCAAAAGGGTAAACATTAAGATAGTGAGAATAGTTGCATTACTTGTGTAGTGTAACATTTCTCTTGGTGTAGGCCCTTGTGGAGGGTAGTTTCGAGACCCTTCGTGGTTGGGGACAGTGTGGCACTGTTCCACATCACTGTACCTCGGCTCTTGGGGTTTGTAGGAGCTGGGAGTCATTCCCAACTCGTAACTCTTCCTATCTTGTGTTCTAAGACTATAGTGGCTGCCATAGTACTGTTCGTTCAAACCGACGCTTTGTCGTCAATTCTTAATGAAATCATGCAATCTAAATTGCTTATTGTAGGCGACGTGAAGACGCTCCAGATCCAATTTGAATCAAGTCATTTCTAGCTGTGAGCAGAACGCTATCAACGTCTGAAGCCGCTGTGCAGAAATCCGTCTGTGCTCTCTATCTTTCGTTTTAGGCACATTCAAGCCTATTGCGACTATAACAACTACTACTACTGCTACTGCTGCTACTGCTGGTACTGCTACTAGTGCTACTGCTGCTCCTGCATACTGTGCCACTATGGCATCGCTTCGAGTTCTCGCGTTCGATCATGAGGGTAGACCGGTTCACTTCGACAAGTGGCTCGACGACCTGCAGCTGTACCTACTGAGCGATATTAAGGACAGTGTTTCACTGTTTGACCACGTATCCGGTGCCGCTACTGCCTCTCTCGCCACAACTGATAGTACAACTCGCTCACAGTGGCTTTCCCGCGACGCTGCTACCCGCTTAGCCATTCGCAACCACCTGCCGATAGCCGAATGCGCTCACTTCTGACAGCACAGGACCGCACAGGAACTATACGACGCTGTAGTCGCTCGCTACTCCTCCCCTGCCACTACTGCTTTAGGCCACCTGCTTCTACCCTACCTGTTCCCCGAGCTGTCCGCCTTTGCCACAGTCGAGGACCTGGTTTCCCAGCTTCGCGCTAGCGACGCTCGCTACCGCGCTGCTGCCCCCGCTGAGTTCCTTCACAGGAACCAGCCCTCGATGTTCATCACCCTCTACTTCATAGTCATACGCCTCCCTGACTCTCTTCGCTCTGTCAAGGACCACTTTCTCTCTCTTGACCCCACCTCCCTCACTGTTGACCTCCTCGAGCAGCATCTCCTAGCCGGTGAGTCCAGTGCGGTTGCTGTAGGTGCTGCTCGTGGCACTCCGCGCCCACCCTTCTTTGAGGGGTGCTCCCCCTCCCCCCTTGCCCCCTCCTACGCCTCTGCTGCTGCTGCAAACGTCTCTGTTGCTGAGGACGTCGGGGCTGCTTCTGCTAGTGCGAAGCGCCGCAGCAGCAAGGGCAAGGGTGGCTGGGGTGGTGGAGGTGGCAGCGGGGATGGAGGAGGTGGCAGCGGGAGTAGTGGTGGGGGCAGCAATGGGGGTGGTGGCGGCGGTGGGACTGGTGGAGGGAGTGGGGGTTCTGGTGGCAGCGGTGGAGGCAGCGGTGGGAGTGGCGGCAGTGGCGGCGGTGGGACTGGTGGCGGTGGGACTGGCGCTCGGCGTGTTGGTTCTGGAGGTGGCCAGCGTCAGCAGCAGCAACGTCGCAGCGAGACCCAGTCGCCCCAGCAGCTTCATGAGTGGCTCTTGCAGCGTGGGGCGTCTGGGGGTAGTGGTAGCTGCCCATATGTCATTCGCACGGGTGACCGTGCTGGTCAAACTTGCGGGCGGCTCCACACTCAGCACCACTGCTTCTCCCGCCTCAACGACGCTTGGCGTGCTGAGTTTGGTGATGACGCCGAGCTCCCTCGCTGGGCACATCTGCTTAGGTCTAGGATTGCTATCTTTGACCTAGACTTTGATGCTATTCTTTCTGCTATGTATGCTTTGTCTGTTAGTGCTGAGGGTGACTGTTACCGGTGTGTGCCGCCTGACCCAGGTATAGCGGCTACTGCTCTAGGTGCTAGTAAGTCTGGTACTCTCCCTGGTACTGCGCTTGCTCAAGCCTTGCACACCTTCACGTTGGACTCAGGCGCCTTGCGCAGTTTCTTTTGTGACAGCACTTCTCTCACTCATCTCCCTGCACCTGTCCTGCTCAGACTTGCTAACCCCTCTGGGGGCCCGGTCATGGCCCGTTCCTCCACTGTCCTCCCGTGTCCGGCGGTTCCGTCCAGCTCTCTGTCAGGTCTTCACTCTCCTCGTTCTCTACGAACTTGGTGAGTACCGCTGCCCTCCAGGATGCGATGGTCACTACCACCACTCCAGGGGGTCAGCGTGTGTCGATCTGCACGTGCACACGGACGGGGCGTCACCTGGCCACGTTCACTCGTTGGCCAGGGTCGAGTCTGTACACACTCGCTACCGAGCCTCCTCAGGTAGCTGCGTCTGCTCAGGTGTCCGCGTCAGGTCAGGTAGCCACCTCTTGCTCGTGTCGCCTCCTGTCGCACTAGACTCTTCTATGGCACCACCGCCTGGGTCACCCCTCCGTGCCACGCCTTCATGGCATGCACTCTCGTCTTCTTGTCTCTGGTCTACCCAGGTCTCTGCCTCCCCTCCCGCCCTCGCCTGCCCCGCCCTGCCTTCCTTGCGTAGAGGGGCGGCAGCGCACCGCTCCTCACTCCTCCTCGTTTCCCCCGACGACTCCTCCCCTGCAGAATCTCCACATGGACATGTGGGGCCCAGCCCGCGTCAGTGGACAGGCCCGCGAGCGCTACTTTCTGCTGGTCGTTGACGACTACACGCGGTACACCACGGTCTTCCCCTTGCGCAGCAAGGGTGAGGTCTCTGATGTCTTGATCCCTTGGATCCGCACAGTCCGTCTCCAGCTACACCAGCGGTTCGGCCAAGACCTTCCTGTCTTGCGTCTGCACTCTGACAGAGGTGGTGAGTTCTCCTCCAACCTCATGCTTCCGGACTCCCCTCAGCAAAATGGGATTGCTGAGCGCCGCATTGGCTTAGTCATGGAGTTCGCTCGTACCTCCATGATCCATGCGGCTGCTCCCCATTTTCTGTGGCTGTTTGCGGTCCGGTACGCTGCGCATCAGCTCAACATCTGGCCCCGTGTCTCCTTGCCGGAGACCTCGCCCACACTGCGTTGGGCGAGGAAGGTTGGCGATTCGTCGGTGTTCCGGGTCTGGGGTTCTCGTGCCTTTGTTCGCGATACATCCGCGGACAAGCTCTCCGCCCGTGCTATCCCCTGCGTCTTCCTTGGCTTTGTCCCTGACGCGCCTGGCTGGCAGTTTTACCACCCCACCTCGCGCCGTGTCTTCCCCTCTCAGGACGTCACGTTTGATGAGTCGGTTCCCTTCTACCGTCGCTTCCCCTACCGCTCTGCCCCTCCCCCGCCCCCGCCGCTCTTCCTTGCTCCCGGTCCTCCTCCGGTAGACCCCCGCCCGCCCCAGGGCCCTGCTCCCTCGGGTGTGTCTCAGGTAGACCCTCTCCCTGGTACTGCGCCTGTTCAGGTAGCTGTCGGCTCAGGTGCTGCTCCAGGTGCTGCGTCTCGGGGTGCTGTGTCTGGGGGTGCAGAGCCAGGGGGTGCGGAGTCCGAGGGTGCTGGTTCTAGGGGTGCTGGACCTGGGGGTGAGGAGCCTGGGGGTGCTGAACGTGCGGGTGTGGAGAGTGGGGGTGTTGAGCCTGGGGGTGCTGAATCTGAGGGTGCGGAGTCTGGGGGTGCTGAGCCTCGGGGTGCTGCTTCGACTAGAGGTCCTGCTGGTGCTTCGTCGCGACTATCTCCGCAGCAGCTGCGTGAGTGGTTTGTTCGGCGCGCACGCCTTCCGAGTGGAGCTACCGGAGCTGGAGGCGCTGAAGACGCTAGAGCTGGAGGTGCTGGGGTTACTGCCTGAGCTGGTGGTAGTGGCGGTACTGCGGCTACTGGTCCTCGAGGTGCTCGTACCAGAGGTGCTGGAACTGCCGGGACTGGTGGTGTTGGGGACGCTTGAGCTGGAGACCCTACGAAGCCTGGAGCTGCTGGAGCTGGAGGCATTGGCACTGGAGGCGCTGGAGCTGTAGGAGCTGGAGCTGTTGACCCTTGAGCTGGAGGTGCTGGAGATACTGTGCGGCCGCGACCGTACTTCGTTCCCCTGCTTCAGCAGGTTCTTGGTGTCCCGTCCTCTACTGGCCTTACTCCCCCCCTCCTGTGTCCACCGCCTGACTAGTCGCAGCTGCCGTTGCAGCCGGCCTCTCCTTTGCGTGCTCCCTCTCCTTACACTGAGCAGTCCGGCGGGTCTTACAGAGCGTCGTGAGCCTGCGTCTTGTCCTGTCTTGCCTGTTCGCACTGCTCGCCGGGTTCCTCGTTCGCGTCCTCCTCATGTCCCCGGCACGCACGCTATGACAATTTGTCCTTCCTCTACTGCGTGTTCCTCTGCCGCCTCCTCTTGTGTCCTCTCTTCCTGCGGTCCCTGACCCTGAGTCTGAACGTGCTCGTGCTGCCATTCCCACTGTCGCTCGTCTCCTCGCCACTGCTTGTGCTCGAACTGTGTGGTGACTTTGTGATCCACCCTGAGCTTGCTTTGCTTTTCTTCTTCTCTTGACTGGTCTTGTGACCATTGCTTGCTCTTGCTATCCCCCACTTCGCCTATGGGGGTGTGTCAAAACATATGTGTTTATATTTCTCTAGGCTGTTGTGGGTTTAGCCTTAGGGGGTACAATATTTCTCTGGACATTCTACTTGTACCCTCCCCTGTTGGTGCAACCCTACGGTTTGCACTCGGCTTGTTGTCCGTGTGCGTGAATGTGTGTGTGTATGGAATGGTATGAGGGCATGGGATAATATATATTTCATGCTTATAATTGTGTGTGAATGTTGAGTCATGATGTCGAGTGTGTGTGTCGAGTCAATAGCGAGTTATCGCTAGACGCGTGTTACGCGGTCGTTTGTGTCTCGCGCGCGGTTTCTATTTTGTCGTGCGCGGTTTCTATTTTGTCCTGTGTCGAACGTTCGGCGTGTCGCAGGTGTGTGCAGCAGACCCATCAAGAACTCAAGGATGAGTTTGTGATGAAGAGCCCGAGCCTTGGTGTCAAGCCTCAAGTGATTTCGAAGCTCGCCAAAAGGGTACACCTCAAGATATTGAAGATAGTTACATTACTTTGTGTAGTGTAACATTTCACTTGGTGTAGGCCCTAGTGAAGGGTAGTTTCGAGACCCTTCGTGGTTGGGGACAGTGTGGCACTGTTCCACATCACTGTACCTCGGCTCTTGGGGTTTGTAGGAGCTGGGAGTCATTCCCAACTCGTAACTCTTCCTATATTGTGTTCTAAGACTATAGTGGCTGCCATAGTACCGTTCGTTCAAACCGACGCTGTGTCGTCAATTCTTTATCAAATCGTGCAATCTAAATTGATAATTGTAGACGACGTGAAGACAATCCAGATCCAATTTGAATCAAGTCATTTGCAGCTGTGAGCAGAACGCTAACAACGTTTGAAGCCGCTGTGCAGAAATCCGTCTGTGCTCTCTATCTTTCGTTTTAGGCACATTCAAGCCTATTGTGACTATAACATCCCCCTTTCATCTAATGCATCACTCTCTCGATTCTAACAGACCGTTGAATTCTCAAAGGACTGCCAGCGAGGTAGTTCGACCCAATTACTGTGATAATCACAATAGGCTTGAATGTGCCTAAAACGAAAGATCGAGTGAATAGTCGGATTTCTGCACAACGGCTTCAAACATTGATAGCGTTCTGGTCACACCTGCAAATGACCTGATTCAAATTGGATCTGGAGCGTCTTAACGTTGCCTACACTAGGCAATTTAGATCGCACGATTTCATTACGAATTGATGACACAACGTTGGTTTGAACGAACGGCACTATGGCAGTCACTAAAGACTTAGAACACAAATTAGGAAGAGTTACGAGTTGGGAATGACTCCCAGCCTCTACAAACCCCAAGAGCCGAGGTACAGTGATGTGGAAGAGTGCCACACTGTCCCCAACCATGAAGGGTCTCGAAAGTACCCTCCACAAGGGCCTACACCAAGAGAAATGTTACACTACACATTGTAATGGAACTATTCTCACTATCTTGAAGTTTTCCCTTTTTGAGAGCTTTGAAATCACTTGAATCTTGAAACCATGGCTCTGGTTCTTCAAGATAAATTCTTCCTTGAGTTCTTGGAAGTCTGCTGTGCACACCTGCGACACGCCGAACGTTCCACACACGACAAAATAGAAAACCGCACACGACACGCAAACGTCGACGTGACACGCTTCAAAGCGACGACGTGACACGCTATTGACTCGACACACACATTCAAAATCATGCCTCATGATCCACACACTATTGTAAGCATGAAATATATATATTATTTCTTGCCCTCATACGATTCCATGCACACACGCATGTATGCACACGGACAGCAAGCCGAATGCAAACCGTAGGGTTGCACCAACAAACTCCCCCTCGGATTGTTGGCCTTAGGATCTGGTTCTCTCAGTTCAGAGCAATCCCAGCCAGCTTACAACACTTCCAATGCTGCTGCTCCACCAGCCTCTTGGTCATCATGTCAGCTGGCTGCCTTGTCGTTTTCACGTAGTGCAACTCAACTTCACCCGCGGCCACCATGCTCCTCGTCCAATGCCATTTCACCCTCATGTGCTTCGTGAGGCCATGCAACACAGGGTTCTTAGCAAGAGCAATGGCACCTTGGCTGTCACAGTAGAGTGGGGTAGGTCCTTGCTGCTCCTCCCCCAATTCAGCCAACAAACGCTGCTGCCAAACAATCTCCCGTACGGCACCAGAAGAGTGACATGTACTCGGACTCCACCGAGCTCAATGTTTGATCCACCTGCTTCTTGCTCTCCCAAGCAGTTGGGCCTCCACCAACACAGCAAAAGAAGCCTCCCACACTTGTCATGTCCTCCTATTCTGATGCATAAGAGGCATCGGAGAAGGCTGTGAGGAACAAACGCCCGGGTTCAGCTCCATCCGCGCCCTTTTGGCACCTTTGTGCCGCCGCCGAGTATTGCAGCCCAACCGTCGTTGTTTGGCCAAGATACTTGGCCACCCTCATTCCAGCTGCTACCTGCTCCTCATTAGGGCATTGAACAGCCCTAGCTAGCTGCCCGGTAGCAAAGGCGACGTCTGGTCGGGTGTTTACCGCCACGTACATGAGGCTGCCCACCAACGAGTGAAAACGGCGCCTCTCCTCTTCTCCAACGCTCTCCTCCTCTGATCCCTTCACACACTTAAACCCAAAAGGGAATGGAAAAGCCACATGGCCTTCAATCTGCCCAAAGTTGGCAGCCAATGCCTCCAGGTAATTCCGTTGATGCACCCGCATGCACCGCTTCTCCACATCGCGTTCAATGTGAAGCCCGAGATAGAATCTGACGTCACCAAGGGCCTTACACTTGAACTTGTCCTCAAGCTTCAGCATCACCTCCTTCACAAGGTCAGAAGAGGGTGAGAAGATGAGGATGTCATCCACGTACACCACCATGAAGCTCCTCTGCTCCACCTCGCCAAGCATGAACAATGAGTGATCGGCCGTTGAGGGCGCGAAGCCGATCTCCTCCAAAGCTTCTCGCAGCTTCAAGTACCACTGCTAGGGGCCTGCTTCAGTCCATAAAGGGCCTTATTCATCTTCAAAACTCTGCCACTACCATCATCAAACCCCTCAACCTGTGCCAAGAAAATCTCTTCTTCGAAAATGCCCTTGAGGAACGCGGTTGTCACGTCCATTTGTTTCACCACCCATCCTTTGATGGTAGCTCCCGCGAGTAGGGTTCGCAGCGTCGTCAACTTCACCACAAGAGCAAACAATTCGTTGTAGTCCACCTTCTCCTTCTACTGGTACCCCTTGGCCACAAGCCTAGACTTGTAGCGCTCGATTTTGCCGTCGGCGTCGATCTTGAAGAGCCACATGGACATAATCGCCTTACGCCCCTCCGGTAGCTCCACCAATTCCCACGTGCCGTTCTCCTCAATGCTCTTCAGCTCACTCTCCATTGCCTTCTTCCACTCCTCAGCATCACTACTCTACAAGGCCTCCTTGACAATTGTTTGTCAAACTTATATGCTATAGTCTGTTTGTACCCACCTGCTTGCTAGTTCAGTCATTCATTCCTTCACTATTCTGACATGGTATTCAGAGTACGTTCCCTAGTGGGAACGTTTTTTTTAGGGCCCACCACGATTTTTTTTCCTGCCCTGCCAGAAGCGCGCCTCGCGCCTGCCTCACCTGCGCCGTCGCGCGCCCTGCCCTAGTACGGCCCGTCACGGCCCTGCCTTAACTGGCCCGTTGCGGCCCGGCCTTTGCCACCCGTCGCTGGCCCTTCCCGGCCCGTCCTGGCCCGTCGCCGCCCGTCGCTGGCCCGTCGCCGCTCGTCGCGGCCCTACCTTCGCCGCCCACTGCAGTGTCAGAATGTATTTGCTGTCTAGCCTGCAGTGGGGTACTCTGTAATGAGTACAACCCAATTTAGGGTGTTGTACTTGTATCCCAACTCTTGCTAGTGAAACCCCTCATTCTCCTTTCCAATCCTCTCGACACTCAATTCTCTCGACACTAACTAGCCATGGCTCCTAACTCACGCTAGTATTCTAACATGCAGCCCTGCCCTGCAGCCGCCCTGTCGCCGCCCTGCCTTTCGCCGCCCGTCGCCAGCGTAGCCTCCCGTCGCTGGCCCGTCGCCGCTTGTCGCGGCCCTGCCTTTGCCGCCCTGTCGCGGCCCTGCCTTTGCCACCCTGTCGCGGCCCTTCCCTGCTGCCGCCCCAATCGCGGCCCTGCCTTCGCCGCCCGTCCCGGCCCTGCCCTGCAACCGCCCTGTCGCGGCCCTGCCCTACTGCCGCCCCAGTCGCGGCCCTGACCTAAACTGCCAGCTGCGGCCCTGCCCTGCACCCGCCCCTGGTAAGCACCTGCGCCGCCCTGCCGCGCCGCGCCGCCAGGAGCTGAGCCGCGCCGCCACGCCGAGCCGCGCCGCCCAGCCAAGCCGCGCCGCCCACCCGAGCCGCGCCGCCGAGCCGAGCCGCCCACCCGAGCCGCGCCGCCCTGCCGAGCCGCGCCGCC